TATGGCCACTTCTGAGTTTGAAGGGCCAGACAGAAGCACCAGAGGAGGAAACTTTACAACGAAGAGGACCAAAGGATTCTCCATACCCCAGTGCTTGAGAAGAGGTTTATCCAAACCCAAGTGGTCCACTTGACAGTCATAGACATCTTCAATAGAGGGCAGGAAGGGGAGATAGTAGAACTTGCGGAACAGGTTGTCCTCCCTGGGTAGGAAGACGGTCTCTGACACGCCCTTGGTGACTGGCTTTCCATTTTTGAGCCATGTGGCACTGAGCACCGGAGGGGAGAACTTGTCCACAAAACAGATGAGGACATTGGGTTCTCCCTGTTCCACGGGGCCGTGGGAGAGCACGGTTACTTCAGGAGCCACTAGGAGACACAGGAAAGAAATTAGCCTTCATTCCTTCAGCTTGCCCCTCTCCCTCCTGCACTGAATTGGGTATGGAACCATCTAATGATTCTAAAGCAAAAAAGCAAAACAAAACAAAGCTACTAAACTGTGCCACAATCTCAGGTATATTGCACTAGGTACATAGTAGAGCCAATACTGAGCAATGAGATATCCAGAGACCTCATTCCTGGCTCCCCATCATGGGCTCAGGGCGGTAATTTTGTGAGTGATCATGGATGAGAGACTCAAGATTTGAGCGCATCAAGAAAAGCGCAGAGTCACAAAGTTCTCAGGCTGTGGCATGAGAATTTGGGGTTTTCTTATGTTAGGGTCAGGCCTCTGGGAGGGAAGACTGTGATAATATGAGGCAATGTGCCAGAGCATGTATTTTAAAGCTCTGGATTTCAGCATCTCGGGTTACACAGAGAGAGGTACCGTTGCTGCCCGGAGTGTTGTTGGAGCGCTTCATCATGGCCCCCAGATTGGCTTTGTCCACGGCCATATTGGCCAATGCACCCTGCGCCTCAAAGCTGGCATACTGTCCAAACTCTTCCAGGCGCCAGACCGTCTGCTCCTTTTTTATGTCCACATGGAAAATCTCATCACCATCGAAGTCAAACATAAATTCTCCTGCTTCATCAGGGGACAAGTAGAATTCTGCCTGGATGATCTTGTGTTCCTCTGAAACACAGAAAAGGGAGTTAGAGAAGAATCAGGAGAGGCAACGAAGGAGATTCTACATGGATGTGGACCGGATGTGAAGGAGAGAGGAGAAACCAAACGGAACAGAGCAGAGTGGCGAGGAGGGATGAGAGAAAAGAGGGGTCTGGCTGATGGACTTTGCCCTGAACCAAGCTGATAGGGAAGAAATGAGGAAGTCAGCATCATTAAGAGGGTGGGCTGAAGGAGATGACAAGAAAAGT